TAACAAAACAAAAATATATGTAGTACTGTCAAGTTTTCATTGTTAGTGAACTCTTTGAAAAAATGTTGACAAGATATATTATCACAACAAAAATATATCTAGTAATGCCACGTCTCCATCGTTAGTGAACACTACCAAGATATGTTCATTTTCTAAAAGTATATAACATTTGTTAATAGACAGTATTGGCAAGATATATTAACAAAACAATATTATATCTAGTAAGGTGATACTAGTGATACATCGTTAGTGAACACTACAAAAAATGTTCATTTTCTAAAAGTTAATAACACTGTTTAGCAGAAATTATTAACAATATATATTATTATAACATTATTATATTTAGTAATATCAAGTAGTGAACACCACCAAAAAAGGGTAAGATCCTTTGCTTGATATTTTCAGAAAATAAACATTTTTAATACAAAATCATTTTTTTATGAAGTATAAATATTAAAAATGTGAAAATTTTTTATATAAAATTAATTACCTTCAGTACAACTCTTCATAGAAATATTTCGCATTTAGTATAGGAGACAGAAGATAGCATTTAATATGATTTGCACTTTGGGGATATTTTCGATGTTATTTTTATAAATAATCAGTGGTAGCTGGTAATTTCCTTCTAAGTAAGGGTAATGTGCGGCTTATACCATTTGAAACCACCGAATGCTGACTATATATAGCAGATTTAGAAACATTTGTTAATATCCTTGTAGAATACTCTAATATCCCACTCTCTTATACTCTTATATTCCTATACTCTTATATATGTTCTTATACATTTCAAGAGAATAATGTTTCATAATGAATTGATTCCGAAATCAGAGTGGTCAAATATCGATATAGAGGATTCAGAAACAATTGTTATGTTTACTCTCTGGATACAGTGTCATGCACAGTCTATGTTCGAGTCCAACAAAAGTTGGAGAAACTGAAACACTGTTTTGATGGAATTTGAGAACGAGTTCATCTTGAAGCTTTTTTCTTTCATAATCACCCCTTAACATGTTAGTTTATAGTAGTTCAGTTTCTGTACCTAATGCTACAAAGTAGTTACTATTGCATTTTATAGTTTGAATATCCTTTTTTCCGTTTTTTTTTTATTGTTTTTTATTTAATTTGTGGGTTGCATTGCTTTTATTGTTTTCCTTTGATTTTTATTTTGACTTAAAAATGTAAAGAATAAATTGTTCACATTTTTCATTAAAACCTTTATGTAATGTATACATTTTAAAAATATTATTTTACTTTTTAAATTTAATTAAATAATTATTTATATATTAAATTATTTACTATTACTATTTAAAAGTAACTTTCACTGTATGCTTAGTTATGGTTGAAATAGGAATGACTGTATCTATGTGTGTGTGTGAGTGCTTAATTGTTTTGGGTTTTGATTAGGATTGGTAGGTTTGAAAGAGGGCACCTGATTTTATATATGACCAATTATTATCTAATCGATTTATACATATTTAGCCTTATTTATCGATAATTATAAAAAAAATTTCATATCAAATTTTATTTTTAAATATAATTTTCAATATAAATTTTTTTGTTTTTTAATAGCCAAAAGTTCAAAATTTTTTTTTCAAAATCAAAAACATAAAATAATACATTTACTTAACTTAAAAGCATTTTTTCCAGTGTAAATGTACTTTTGCCTGAGTACATTTACGTTTGGAAATTTTTTAATATTTTTAAGGAATATCGACGTGCTCATATTTTTTATTGTTTCATATTTTAAATATATTTTGAAAATGCATTTGTGTTTGTTTGATTTTACTTACTTTAATAGTAATTTTTATTTTTTGCACTAAGTAATTATGAGTTTACTTAAGTTTCTTTGTTTTTTACTTTAGCTGAAACACAAATTTACATCAATATTACACATACATTTACAAATATACGAGATATTTCTTATTTATCTTTAAATTTTGAATTTTGATTGAATAATTACGCTAGTTAATATAATATATATGCCAAAAATGTTTGCATTATTTAATAAATTTTGTATAAAACACTTAATGAATTTTTTTTTCACACCAATATAAAACATTAAAAAAAAAAATTAAATAAAAACAAATACTTACTTTAAGATTTTTGAAAATTTTTTAATTGTTTTGTAATTTTGACAAATTTTTTTTTGTTAATAAATTTTGATTATATGTCATCTTCAAAAAATATATGTCGAAATATACTTTCCGAAATTTGTATGCAAAAATTGTGTGGAAAGGAAAGGTAGAGAGAGTATGGTAAGGAAGTGCTAGGAAGTGTTTTTTTAGACAGAATTTTTTAATTCTTGGAATATTTATTTGGAAATATCATTAGCCATTGGTTAAGGGACTAAAGGAGAGTTGTAAGTAGAAAGCCCACTTTAACTGAAAATCTCGCGAATTGAGCAAATCCTCAAATGTTAAATATTTTATTATAAATATTAACCATTAGTTTTTATAAAAAAAGCAAGCATTATTTTTATTAGAAGTTTCCTTACTTTAAAATATTGTACATTTACGGCATTTTTTATATTTTTATAATTAGTTTTGTTATTAGACATTAATTTTATAAATAATTAAATATTGTTATAATAAATGTTTTATATAAAATAACGTTTGATTTTATGTTTATGTTGCAATAAATTAAGAAAATATTTAATTAAATTCATTCTTGTTTTAGTTTTTAATAATTTTTATACATATAAATAAGAACTCTTTGTATTGACATTTATGAAATTTTTAAAATAATTTGCTATTAAGTGATATATATATTAAAAAGTGTATATATGATGTTTCTTGGGCATGTTATCAGTTGAAATAGTACTTTGCTTTAAGAAACTAATAATATAGACAAATAGTACATATATACCAGGCTACAGAATATTGTGAGTAAATTTACTGGAGTGTGAAAGATAAATTTGAACAGAAAAGGCTTATCAGAATACATCAATATTTTATAACTTATTATACCACCAAACTGATAGATGATAGACGGTCATCCAGTGTATTCTCGTAAACGTCTCTCCAAACCTCTTATTACAAAAATCTAAGTAATCGATGTATTACCGCATTCTTTTAATCTAACTAACACTTACAGAACAGTAGACAGTCTCTTCCAGGAATGGTAATAAGGACATCTTGACTAAACAGCTATCAAGCAGTTCAAGTTCGAATCAAAGCAATCAAAGCGAATGTGAGCTGAGGTCTCGTCCGCCTTTATGCAGAATAGATACGTTCACAGTCACATTGAATGAAAATCATTGACTCATATCTATATAAATGTTATTTTAATAGCGTTTCTTCATTGATTAATACCACTCTTATATATCACTTTAATCTGGTTACTCGCTAAAGACGAGGGATTTGTTAAATTGCCTAAATTCAGCGAAAAATGTCCAAAATTCGATAAAAATGGATAGCAAAATGATATTTGTTTACCTGGTTTTATAACCAACCAACTATTATTATAAAATACAAATTATTTTTTATCAATTTAGATGATTAGATAAATTTTTGTATGTTCTTTCATGAAAAATCTTCTACAGAAGACATTTTCAATCACTATAAAACCTTGCAGCGTACAAGAGCTAAGAACAGAGATGTTATTTTTCTCTACATTCGTACAACTCCTTTGAGTTTCACATATTAAGAGAGCATAATAAATTTTTTTTATTTGGTTCACACAATAAAGATAACCTTATTTTAGCTCTAATATAAGTATTTTAAATATGAAATAGACAACAGATTATTTTAGTGCTTGCCATATCGAAATGTCTTGAGACATTAAATAATTTAAAAATAATAAAAAAAATTTATTTATTATTAATTTGATTTTGTTAAAATATTTAAAGCAATTAAAAACTATTTGTTTGATTAAAAACTATTTGTTGATTTAAATAAAAAGATACCAGAAAATGTCATTAATTTATGATTTAGATGAAAATGTTTGAAATTCTTATTCAAAACTTTTTGCAACATAAACTTAAATAAAAATATAATTATTTTTACTCTACTTTTAATGCTAATTTAAAGCAATCACAACGAAAAAAAATATATATAAAAAAATTAAAATTTATTTCAAATAATATTACAAACACTCAAAGTCTCACGCTTAATTACATACTAAATACCTTAAAGCACTCAAGCATTTACACATATTCATACAAACCAACAGCCAGTGCTGCCAGATTTTACAAAATACATTCCAATAATTCAAATGCAAAGCAACTTAAAATTAATTTAATTAGAAAATAATGTTTACAAATGCATTCACACCAACACACATGTAACCCGTCACTCTCACTCCCACGCAATGCCACACTATTCGCAATCACAAGTACACACACACACACACTCTCTCTCTCTCTCTTTCGCTTTGTCCCACTCATAGTTAATATAAAATGCATTTACAACTGCAAATTAATGTTTTATAAATTAGGCTGCATTTAAAAGTTTTGCATAATTAATTGCATTTGTTTCTCTCAATTTGTAAATATAATTAATTTATTTTGTTGTTAATGCCATTCTTGTTCTTTTTATTCTTTTTGTTGTTGCTGTTGTTGTTGTTATTATTGTTCAATGCTTATTTAGTTTTGCTTTTAGTTTTTGTAATTATGCACACACTAATTCGCATTAAAGTGTATAATTCATTTTTTTTATTTATATGCCTTTTTAATATAATTTGATAATAAATTTAATTTTTTGCATAAATTTGTTAAAGCATAATTTAATTAATATTTACTTTAATCTTTTATCTTTATTTTATAATAAACTTTTAATGAGAAAAACTCTTAATAAACTAGCATAGCAATTAGTTTTTGTTAGAATTTATTTTATGCTAAAGTATTACTAATTTCATATATTTATATATATTATCAATATTATTAATGATTTTATAATTTATTATTAATTAAATTATTTTTTTTTTGTTTGCTTTCATATTAAATTAAAATTCTTAATTTATTTTATAACATTTTGTGGTATTTATTTATATTTAGTAATATTTGCGTTTTAGACTTTTACGCTTTTTATTTAATATTAATTTAATTTTAATTTAATTTTAATTTTTGTATTAATTTTTGTATTCTTGATTTTCTTTATTAATTTTAACCTACAAATCCATAACATTGCATGCTCGCTCGTACATTACTCATACGCCCCCGGTGTGCTTGCTTGGCCCGCCCAGAAAGCACTTTACACTTTTAATGCATTTCGCGAACAAAACGCTGCATTTTTGCACATTTCTTCACCTGTGCGATACGTTGTTGGTGTTGTTGCATTTGCAGTGGTAGCTGCATTAGCTGTCGCAGCAGCTGGTGGCATTGATACTACCACAGAGTGCACATCCTCTTCGATGAGTGCAGTTTTATCGTTTGGCACGCGTTGCTGCCGCAACATGCAGACGTAGAGCAGCAGGATGAGTGCTAGCAATAAAGTGCCGGCGATGACGCCAAATAATAATGGCTTCTGTAAATCGGATAATGTCGCTATTGTCAGTATGTTCAGATTGGGCTTGTGCATTGGTTCGATGGCGCTTATATCGGAATTCTTTGTGTGCCAATTAAATATGAAATTTGTGTGCTGATTTATTGTCTCGGCAGATTGATCATCATCGTATGGCAACACATTGGTATTATCCTGTTCGATGGATGTGACTATCGAATCGGTGATGCTGTTGCTAATCTCGTTGACATTTGAAGTTGATGGTATTTTGGCAATTGGTAATTGAGGTGTTGATGGTGTGATTTGTTTTGGATGCAACTGTTTTTCATTTGCGATTTGTGTATTTATGGCTTCAGCGGTGTCGATTGTTAAAGGCATCGAACGTGACATTGAACCAGTAAGCTGGAAATAAAAGAGATATTTTAATCGATAATTTAGTGAATGAAAGTTTTAAGAGTGCTTAAAATTTGTATTTGCTGCGAATATAGTTCAAACGCATTTCTATAGATAAAGTGTATGCATAGGTGAAGCACTGAAGAATAATTGGTGATTGCAGTAGGTATAGTAAAACGACCAGTGTGAATGTGTATGTAAATATTTTGATATATATATTTATATCTCCAATTCGTACGAACAGCAGTAAGGCTTTATATGAGTTTTAAATAATTTTCAGTAAATATATATAGTATATGCAGTTGGTATTGAAATTAGAGTTCACCAAATAAATACACAGTGTGAAGAGCACTACGGCTGTGTATGATTATAAGACATAGTTCAGTATGTTTATACAGTTTGTATTGATACATATATATATGTATATATATAACATATATATCTAGTTCGACCGAATAGGCTTTATATGAGTTGTATACATATATAGTAAAAGTATGTATAATATACTATATTTTGTACATAAATATAGTATATGCAGTTGGTATAGAAATTAGAGTTCACCAAATAAATGCACTGTATAAATAACAACACGGCTGTGTATGATTTTCATATACTGTTCAGCATATGTATTAGGTTTATAATTTAAATATTAACTACCAAATATAGTTATTGAAAGTACAGAATCTTCTTTAATTTATGGCTATAGACAAACAATAATGTTAAAAAAAAATTTCATTAAATTAATACCATACGAAAATTTGTTTGTAAGCAAAAGATTCGTCTTAAACGAAACAATAATATTTGAAATAATAATAATTTAATACATTTAATAAAATTTAATAAATAGTATGATCCTGCGGCAGTGATATTTTTTCACTTCCAGTGAGTACATTGAGTCATAACAAATTTTTTAGCAATACGGTATTTTCTCAGGTTTGTAGTTCGAATATGGACCATAATAAAACCATGATTTACGATGAATGTTATGTTTTGGAAAGGGATAAAAGACACCACAGGTCGTTCTATAGAAGATGCAGGGAAGCAGTGATCGTAAAAAGTTTCATAATTTGAAAATTCCTCCTGAAAAGAAGATCACTGCGATCATTGTTTTAGAGTATGTATAGGCGAATAAAGTAAAGAAATGCCAATATGAATGGTGAACTCGCACCATGACACTATTGGATTGAAATATTAATTTATGTTAGATTGTAATCCTAATGATGACTCCCAAGGATAGTCGAAATTTAGAATATGTTTAAAAATATTAAAAAAAAGTTGAATTATTTAACAAAAAGCTGGTTAAAAAAATATATTATTATCGACATTATTATACAGGTCGATAAATAAATTTAGGATTTTTTTTTCTTATAAAATTTCGATTGTTATTCATTAAAGAAGAGATAATTATACAAAAGTAGTAAAAAAATTTGTTAAAATCATAAAGTTTCTTAATAATGTCATTAAAGGGCATTTTTAAATATCCTCTCTTAAACGGAAAATTATAATTACTTATATAAATTTAAAAAATAAGTTTTATAAAATAAAATTTTTATGATTATAAGTATCAACTTCAAGTAAATGAATATTTCATCAATTTTTTAAGGTTTGCCAAATCTTATTTATGCCGTCATCTTATCGTGTGGGTAACGTCTTTCCTCTTACACTAAAGTGCAGTTATCAATTTGTTATAACATTTACAATCAAAATACAATAGTCATTAAATTTTTCAATAAACGATATTTGTACAACAACAACAATGACAACAACAACAATGACAATGACAACAACAATAATATGAAATTAATTTTACAATACGTAAAATAACTCCTCCGCAAAATTTGCTAAATTTGGCGAAACGTACACAAATTTAATGCTTCATTATAAATTAGAAATGTTTAAATGCCAAATAAAATTTGCAATAAATATCAATTTTTATGCGGTGATTAAATCGGTTGTGGTATCATTCATTAAAAAATATTTGCCTGACACGCCTGTCAATTATTGTACGCCCACGCGAGCAATGCAAACCAAACGAAATTAAACCAAAACCAAAACCGAGCCAAACCAAACCAAACATTAGCTGAAGATTGTGTTGTTAGTTGAGCACAATTAAAGCGCACAAGCATTGCCCGCGGCTACAGAAAGTAAATCAAAAGAAAAATGCCAACAAATGAGCTTAATAAATTATACTTGTACGTGTATCTTGTAACGCCGATGGCCAATGGGCAATTGTGCGAATCACTAACAAATGCGTACTATTTTGCATATCGAATTTTCATAAACAAATGCACATACAGAGCTACAAACACACTCTTTTTTATTGTTCATTTGTATGTATTCATTATCTGTATCTGTATCTGTATTTGTTTGATAAAGTGTATCTATGTACGTGTTTTAAGTGCTGCTATCAGCACAATTCAATCTCACATTTAAGTGGCATTTTATCTTGTGTATTTACTGTCATTAAAAGCAATTAACGCTGCTTGTCTGTAGCGGTACGTACGCATTAAACTCATAATTAATGCGTTCGCTACAAGTGTGAATAGTGCTTCATCCAACACAATTGCATGCTTATCAATGGTCGGCGTATCGCATATCGCTTAATGTCTAGCGCATATCGCATATTGCACGGTGCTTACCTTATTTTTGCATGTCACTTGCACACGATATTTGGTGTCCGGCCATAAGGACAATTGCACATTGTATGATTCCGTGAGTAGATTTCCCATGAGGCCACCGCCAGACACCTCCCAGGTGACTAAGCATTGATTGGGTGTACTTAATGGTGCCCAGGCTACATCGACTAGAACAAGTGAATCTTGCTGTAGCATGGAAACAGTATGCAATGACCAGGTTTCACGTATGGATTTGCTGATTTTTGGTGGAGGTGGCTTGGCGCACTCATCCCAACACTGAAATTATAAGAGAAAAAAATTGTTTTAGTTTTGATTTAAGTTAGAAAATATAGAAAGCTTTTAATAAAATTAGAACTTAATTTATATTTAGGGTTCATATACAGAAAATTTGTTTTTAATATAAAATTTAAATTGCTTTTTAACGTCCCCTTTGAAATTAAATGCTTAATATAAACTATTGTTTTTAATGGAGAGGTGTTTACCGAACAGCAGTGAAATTGCAACAACAAAAATTTTTTATTATTTTTAATTGAATTTTGAGCTAAACATAAAATTTAAATTTAAACTCAGTAAGCTCGTTAAATCGAATCTAAATTATAGCTGAGTTCAAAGCAATCAAGAAAGGTTCTATAATAAAAATGATATTTCAGTATAATTTGCTGACAACTGACTTAGTATTGACGATTGCAAAGAAACTATAAGTTGTGGTACTTTCACTAAGCAGAGGAGATTTAACGATTATATTTACGTACTCTACAGGTTACTGCAATCTCAAAACAATTTGATGAAGAAGGTATCAAAAGCTTGGAAACAATTTTTATTAGTGTCTATCTTTTACTTGACAAAGACAAAGACGCCAAACTGTTGTCAGCTACGTACTGACAAGTTATTAGAAATTACCTCAAAAGTATATCGTATTGTAGGATGTTTCATAAAGAAAATTTATACTTTGTACAAGTATAAATTACAAGTGCGTTTTATTAATCTTTAGTCTAGAAACTACAAAATAAATATTCTTGAGATATTTCAACTACTGCTTCTACTACTACAACTACTCTACTACTTACTATGTACTATCACATCTATTTCGACTACAATTCTCTACTGTTACTATCTGGTACTATTTACTGTTTACCACTACTGTAGCTTTTACTAATACTAGTACTATTACAACTATGTATCACCACTTCTATCATAACTACCGCTACTGCTCCTACTAGCACTATTACTATTAATTCTACTACTACTATTGTACTATTACTACTAATTCTACTACTAATACTACTACTATTACGTTTACTATTACAACTGCTAATCTCAGAAGCACTTCCACCGATATTCTATTTACTAATTCTGTTATTAATACTTTTACTACTAATGCTACTTACGAATACTGGTAGTACTATTATTACAACTAATTTTACTTACTAAAATTGATATTGCTACTAATACTAATTACTTATACTGGTACTACTATTACTACAACTAATTCTACCTACTAACACTGATACTGCTACTTTTACTACTAATACTACTTTCTAATACTGGTACTACTACTATTACTACTAATTTGTTTTGCTAATACTGCTACTAGTACTATGTTATTACTAACACTATTACTACCACCACTACTATTAGTACTTATACTTCTACTACTATTTACTATCTACTACCACTTTTACTTCTAATAGTACTATCTACTGCTATTATCTAATACTGCTAACTATATATTACCACTACGACTTCTATTACTACTACTATTAATACTAATACTAATACTAATACTAATACTAATACTAATACTAATACTAATACTAATACTAATACTAATACTAATACTAATACTAATACTAATACTAATACTAATACTAATACTAATACTAATACTAATACTAATACTAATACTAATACTAATACTAATACTAATACTAATACTAATACTAATACTAATACTAATACTAATACTAATACTAATACTAATACTAATACTAATACTAATACTAATACTAATACTAATACTAATACTAATACTAATACTAATACTAATACTAATACTAATACTAACACTAATACTAATACTAATACTAATACTAATACCAATACTAATACTAATACTAATACTAATACTAATACTAATACTAATACTAATACTAATACTAATACTAATACTAATACTAATACTAATACTATTACTAATACTAATACTAATACTAATACTAATACTAATACTAATACTAATACTTATACTAATACTAATACTAATACTAATACTAATACTAATACTAATACTTATACTAATACTAATACTAATACTAATACTAATACTAATACTAATACTAATACTAATACTAATACTAATACTAATACTAGTACTACATGTACCACTTGAATTACTATCACTTCCCCAATACTATTCATTACTACAACTATCTACTTTTACCATCTACTACTACTGTCTGCTCTAACTATCTACTACTATTATCTACTACTTATATCCACTACTGCAATCTAGTACTACTATGACTACCGGTAGTACTACAACCACTACGCTACTGCGCCACCCACTACTTATACTACTCCTATTACTTTTACTACTACTACTTCTTATACTATATCTGCTACGACTACTACTACTACGACTCCTACTACTATAACAACTACTATTACTATTATTATAGCTTTTACTACTACTTTTTCTATTACTACTACTTCTAATATTACAACTACTATTACTACACTCAGATGCACTTCAACCGATATACGTATCTTCTTAAAGTTGCTGACTCAACTGTGACTACCTTAGTTCACATTTACTAGTGGAGATATTTCCTCTTCAAATATGAGGACTCTTAAACTATCAGAAATTAAAGCATACAAATGTATCTTTAAAAAATTTACTGTGCAAGTTGTGAAGAATCAACACACGTACAACATTAAGTTTTTTTAATTCGACATTTGTGGCATGTAAAGGCAATTCAATATTGAAAGCTATTCGGCATGATTAAGTAGAAATATTGACTGTAGCTCATCAAACCAATGGTTCACCCCGCACTGCAACTAGTGTACATTTTCATCAGTTTAATAATGAACTTATTTCTTCCGAAACGGTGTTCTTAGTTGCGCTTACTTTAGTGTTGCCACTTGGCTGCTTTGCCACTCCGCTCCGCGTACTCCCAGTCAGCATAATTCAAATGTAATTAATCACGTTCTGACAATAATGAGTCAAAATGATTTTTCATACATAAACTCACATTCACATACGCTTCTGCCTTGAGATTTTCATTATTTTGCATTATATTTTTACATTTTTCTCATTAAAAATTATGTTTTTTTTGCTCCTAATTTTTTACACATTTTTTTTGTTAACTTTGTTTAATTTTTTTTTTTTTAATATTTTTCTTTTATTTTTTTAAAATTTTTTTTGTTGCTTTTTTATTGGTTTTTGTACTATATGTGTGTTTTGTAGATGTGCTTGGAAGTAGTTCAAGTAATTACTTTTCTGGCGTTTGCAGTAATCATTCAAGATTTACATTAGTCGTTCTTCGTATCTTACTTCACTCCCTGCTGCTGTATCTATACGTAGCATATACAAATGTATGAAACATTACATTTCTTTCTTATTTTACTACTTTTGAGATACTTGTGACTACTGTGTCTTCAGTTACGAGTATCTGGAAAAGCAATATTTGCACTGTTCCATCTCTATTTGGTTTTCTAATTTAGCAGCCATAATTTTTATGAGTTCGTTTTGTAATTTTACTTGTTTTTCTAATTTTATTTTTATCCTTTTTTTATAACCGAAGTTTCACTTCATCTTATATGTAAATACATCTTCATACCCAATTATATTTGAGTTATTTTTCATATTTAGGTCAGCTACTCTTCTTAGATAATTCGTCTTTCTGTTGTGTAGCAAATTATTGCAAATAATTTTTTCATAATTAGTTTAATTTTCATATTTTTCTATATTTTATTATAACGATTAGCGTTTTTAATAAGCAAAACGATTGGTAGGTAATTAATAAATTTAAGTGTTCAAGTCTAATGAAGCTATACTCCATAAATATGCCAGAAGAGCACTTCAATTAGCAAAACGTAACTTCAGGAGATTAAAAGAAGAATTATTTCAATAGCGAAATTTTTTTTTAAAACCTTTTACACAATTTTTTTTAATCAAAAAGTTAGTAATATAATATAAAAATAATAATAATATTAAATTATATAGTAAGTATTTTACTTAAACTGATTAATTAAACAATTTTGTTATACCGAAAATATAATTGATTATATTGAAAATAGGTATAATATAATTGCATTAGTCGCTGGATATTCCAACTTTATTAGAAGCCACATACATTTCATACATGAATCTTTTGAGCAAAGATATTCAACTTATTAAGAATGAATGTATTCATGAATATTGTATATAAATAGAAAGGGTTATATTTTCCTGACCACATTAAGCTATCATTTATTAGTTGGAATTCTAAAATGACTCATACCTGATTATCTGGTTTTAGTTTATCAAGAAACTTTATCCTTAATCTTGATGTTTGTTTAAAATTGAGAGCCCATATTCATCTTATTCTTAACAATTAGAATGACTATTCTATTGTTTTCATAGCAACACTTAAGATTGAACAAAATATACGTATCTTTTGCATCAATTTCTGCTTTAAAAATAGTTTTTTCAGTATTTGTGGGACACTACTGTCACAATAAAGAGACACTATTCATTATAATATCTATAGATACTATATAAATATAATTTACATATAATTTCTACTTAAAATATTGTAGTGTTTTAGCATTTATGGACCAGTACTAATATAATGAAGAGATAATACTTTAATCAACGTAATACTAATAAGTCGAACTCATGTAATAGCCATAAGATAATACACTTCATGCTTAAATAAAATAAAATAAAATAAAATAATATATAATAAAATTAAATAAAATAAATATTAAATTAGTTGAAAAAGCTATTCATACTATACGTTTGATTTAAGATTGCCTAACGTCTGGGCAAATTATGTTAAGCCTAGTGTGTCCCATAGATTAAACATGTCTGTGATCAACGTTTTAAAGGATTTCACTCTGCGGCAATACCTCCCTTCATTTTGTGTTTGTGTTCTAGATTTAATTAAAGGTTCGACAGGATTTTCAACTTTTAGATATTTATGTAACAATACAATGAGCTATTGGGTATGAGTAAATACCCAGCCTCACCCCATCCGTCTAATCTAACCTATCTAATATAATATGAATATGTTGAAGCTATTTGAGCCAATACACTTGAGCACTTTTACTCTTTCTTAACTCGAGGTATTTTCAAAACCCCTCTTTACGTCTTGACTGCATTATTGTTTACCACTTCATCAAACTAAACAATAATTGACCTCAGATCTGCACACCTCCTATCTAATATAGTTGCTTTTAACTTTTATTTACCATATAACAGTTCTATTTTTAATAAGCTAAACATATATAATATATTAATATGTTATATATAAAAGTTTGTTTACATTGCCGGATAATCTTTTATTTTTGCTATATTTTAAACAATTTATTAGCATATGTTAAGCTACAAAATAATGAATATTTCATTTCCTTAAATGCTGCTTTGAAAAGATTACGAAATCGCTGCAGGGCTGCAGGATATTAACGCACACGTATCTATCATTCAATTTTTTTTTGTTTATATTTTACAAGATCCAAAATTTTAACTTTTTCACTAATGACTTGAAGCCCGCGGCATATAAAATAATCACTGAGCGCTGAAATAGCTTCACCCTCACGCCTTCATTAGTACCGAAAATCGGTGGGTATACATCTTACATCCACTTCCGTTGTTAGACTTTACCTTTTGTCGTACATTGCACTGCGTTGTAGCGCAACATATTCACAACTTCATAAGCCATCCTTAGAACTAATCTCATATGTATCTGCTCAGCTCAATTTGGAAGGAATGTGAATGGAACCGTGTGTGCTTTACTCCTACTGTCAACCGTTTGGCACAAAAGCTTAGATGAATTTCGCTCGTATGTGCGGGTATTGGGTGCCTTTGTATATAGATACACGTATGTACATAGATATTCGCATATACATAGATACTCGCATGTGAAGGTATTTATTTGCTTGTTTATTTAATGTTTATTTGTATTAGTTTGTGTTTTGCCTGTGGCCTTAAGTTGTGCTCGTAAATCGTCTTTATTACGATTATGTTTGCTTATTGCAATAATTTATGTGATTTGCGGTCTTTGTAGAGTGGCGTTGAGAATATACAAACGTACAATTTACATTTCATTTAGGTTTTTCTGCTTTTAAAACTATTTTATTATTTCTTTCATTTATAAGCTTTTATACCATTTTATTCCCTTTTATGCTCTTTATATTCCATTTCTATTTTTCTTTATTTTACACTCGTACATTTTTATTATTTATTCAAGTGTATAAATGTAGAGAAATTCCCAGCAACCAACAAATCACACCGGTTCCGTATATAAATGGCGTTTGACAATGTTTTCATGCAACCTTTGTGAGTGAAGCCTTTGGATTGGACATGCTAGCACCTTGCCGAGATTTATTTGTAATACTGAACCCAAAAGTAAATTAAACAATTTATCATGTCAATGTCTGCTTGAAAGCCATTGCCAGGACTAAATTATGCATTTAGTGGCTCTTAGCCTGCAACTCATGGCACTTGTTGTCTGTAGCATAACCCATGCGGATTCAGCATGGAGTTGAGCTGCCATTAAAACTACAAAAACTACAAAATTACTCATAAAAACACATAAATTAATGGCATAATGACATATAAATTTGCGCAGAAAATCTCCCACGAACATCGAAGTGTAAATAACTAGTATTAGATACACTTTTACATAGACCCGTAACTCATAAATATTTTTGCGATACATGCATGACTATTTTACATGACATCATCATAGAAACTTTTTATCTACAATTTCGTTTATTAAGCAGAAAACCATTAAACAAACTTTAATCGTTTCGTTGCTGTTCCCTTTACTTCTTTTTTTATTTTTGTTTTTGTTTTTGTTTTTGTTTTACAAATGTATTACTTTTATTAGTATTTTTTAGAAATATTTTTCGCTTTATGGCAGCGCAATTTGTTAAGTACAACGTACTCATTTTCAGCCTTTAGGGGGTCCATCCGCCTGCTGTGGCTCCAGCAGCAACTTTGCATAGCGTAGTTGTGGCAAAGTAAGACAAGCTTTGCTGAAGCTAAGAAGTTTCTTGTTTGGATTCTGCAATTGAATTCAGGAGAATCAGAAAACCAAATCTCTGCCGTATTGAATGAAGTTGATTCAAGTGGAGTTGTTACGCTGTGCTGAGGTGAGTTTTATTAATGGTTAACATTTCATAATGGCGCAAGCGGAGAAATCATATTTGGAGGCAAGGTAAATCTATTAAAAAATATTAACAAGATACACTTTAGTGCTCGTATGTAAATAGGTGCAGAGTTTAGGAGGCACTCGCATCCGAAGCTCGCTGCCATTAAGCTTGATACACTGTCTGCTGTATAGCCAGCCAACATTCGCTCGTTGATTTAGAGTTGCACCACAGCTAGCCTAGTTCTGAGATGATAAATGGATTTCGCTTCAAAATTTGCCAAGAGTTGCTTAAGTAGTTGAGTTGAGGTCATAAATTTTTAATCATTTTAAGACATACGTGAATTTAATATATGTAATCACTGATGCATTTACCCTAAGCATTTGCATTTACTGAAGAAAAACTTTAACTTTAATCTATTTACTGTGCTCCTATCAAGAGCTTGAAATTTTTTTCTAAGGTTTCATCTTCGATACAACATATATGAGAAATTGAAAATAACTTTATTTAAACCTTTTCCAAGTGGTATGTACGAAATACTCTACTTGAAGAAACTACTTTATTTTGGCTTTAAAGTTATAAACATTGCTAAGTAATCAAAAAGTTAATAGTTCAATTAAAGAGAGACTATAAGTTTTACTGTTAAACTTAGTGAAGAAAAAAAAGAAATAAAAAAATTAATGTGTAAATAAAAAAAAATTAAATACATAGCTTAATAAAACTACGAAATTATTTTTAACCGTATTTTTCGGAGTGAAGCAGTACAGCATCACTAATTTTTCGAATTGAAATAAATATTATTATTATAATTAATATTTATATTATTAAATATATATAAAACTACACGATTGTAATAAATACATATAACTCGAATGATAATCATGCACTGACTTATTGTATGTATTTTACTGAGTCCTAGTAAAGCAAGATGTTGTGT